TCCGCGCGAAGAACGCAAGCAACGTCAACTACACGCTTTCTGCTTTCGATGCCCCGGGAGGCCCTGTTCATTTAAGTTTGCCCAAGTACGCGCAGCCAATATCTTCATACGGTCCGGAGGGATATGCAGCTGCTGGCATAAGCGCGGCGAACGGCTTCTTAGACGGAAATCTCCTAGGGTATGGCTATTGGCCTTTTACCTTGAGGCCAGAGGACAGTACGAGAAGTAGTACTGAGTCTGCTTTTCTTTCTCCGACAGCTGCAAAGACATCTTTGAAGATCTACCAATCCTGCATGGTACGTAAGCTCCTCTTCGATGAGTCCAAGCGCGCCATAGGTGTGAACGTCACCGTCGCTGGGATGAAGCCGTTCATCGTTCATGCCCGGAAAGAGGTTATCGTCTCTAGTGGTTTCATCCATACTCCCCAACTACTCATGGTTTCTGGAATCGGACCGCGCGGGGTGCTCGAACGACACAATATAAACGTTTTGTCGGAACTCAGCGGCGTAGGTCAGAATCTCCGAGATACGCCCGCTATTGGTGGCGTCGTCCATCGCACGAACGTTCCTGGAAGAAGTGCCTGGGAGCGCCAGTCATCATCTTTTGAAGCCGCTGTGGAGCAATACTTGACGAATGGATCTGGTCCGCTCAGTAGTCCTGCGAGCGATTTCGCCGCCTGGGAGAGGTTCCCCGATCGCTTTACGACGAATATGAGCCAGTCAACTCTCAACTTTTTGCGGAATCTACCAAGCGATTGGCCGAACGTTGAGTATGTTTTGCAAGCTTCAGAACGCATACTGTCCTCGGCCCAGACTGCTAGCGACACGGGTGTCATAGGCACAATCTTGACTTCCACCACGAGCCAGGGAAATGTTACCATCCAGTCCGCTGACAATGCTGTTGCACCCGTCGTCTACGTCGGCTGGCTTGATTCGCTCGAAGACCAGGAACTTGCTGTAGCGGCATACAGACGCGCGCGCACGATTGCAGCCAGCATATCCGCGTTTGGAGAAGAGATAGCGCCGGGGGCGAACATCACGACCGATGCGCAGATCTTACAGTATATCAGGACGAAGGGTATGGGCGCTATTCATCACGGCGCGGCGACGTGTGCGATGGGAAGAGATGCATCGAGCGGGGCGGTCGTAGACTCCAAAGCTAGGGTGTTCGGCGTGAGTGGCCTGAGGGTTGTGGATGCGAGTTCTCTGCCGTTCTCGGCACCAGGGCACACACAAGGTGTCACTTATGCGCATGCGGAGAAGCTTGCGCAGGATATCATTGATGCAGCAAACGATATCTAGACTATTATAACGTGAGAAATAACACCAACGCACTCGCAGCATGCGATCACACACGAGTCTGCGATAACATCAGCGTCACGAAATCTGATGCGTTGTAGATCAGCTTACTATGAATATGACCGTCCAGAATGCCGTGAAATAGAGGAAGCACCATTCCAGACATTGACGAAGGTGGCCACACCATGACTTGGGTTCGCGCTTGCCCGACAGCTTGTCGAGCAGGGGCATTGTGAAGAAGGCGTGTAGCGGGGCAACAATAAACATGAAAGCCTGCAGGTGGAGTTCGTACGGTTCTGCTCCTGCAGTGAAGAAACGTAGGAGCGGCGGAACGCGGAGGGTCTCAGCTTCAAAGCGTGACAGTACGACTGCCAGGTGGTACATCGTAAGTTGAAACCTGGCCACGGCCACTTCGAAAGACGACATTTGAGATGACGGCTGGTGGTATCAAGAAAGTAAGAACGGGAATAGTGCAGAGCGATGGTCAGGAATCGCGGACTAAAGTTTGCATGTTGAAATACGGTCTCGCAGCGTTAGCTACACGCCATTTAGTGGTTAACATCCACTGGGTCTCAGAACCTAGGTAGCGAGCTGCGAGCCACTCATATTCGCGGCCATACCGTTGATGGCCATAGGAAAGAATATTGCACGAGTCGTGTTGCACAAAGAACGCTTGCCTGATTTAGCACGGAGGGGATTACTGGTGAGGCTTTATGCATAACGTGGAAGATATATAGCTCATATGCCTCCATATCGCGTTCACATTGGACCGGTGAGGATCTAGGTGTATGTGACGATAATAGATACTTTTGATGTTGAGACTTACATACTCTTCAAGTAGTAGTCCGAGGTAATGCCGGCGGGTTCCTTGCGCCCTGAACAGTCTGAACTCTTCACATCGTAATCCTTCGTAACCGTGATAGCGCCAATGTCGCCCTCTTGTGCCAAGTGCCCTGTCTGTGATGTCGCTCCGCCCTTCCGACACAGCTCTTCTTCCGACTCAGTAGCTGTGACGCCTTGTTCCAACCGTGTGATGCTCCCTCTGCGAGCCTTCTTCCCCCATCTCGTTCCCCGCGGTCCTTTTGCTTCAGAACCGATAGTCACAATCTGGCCAAGCGATGAGAGCTTGTAGCCTTTTTGGGTTGAGCTGCCTCCGCCAGGCCCCGATCCAGATGAACTTCCGCCCCCAAACTTTGTCCACAGTGCCTTGAGGCTCGGCAGGTTGACCGCAATGATCGCAAATTGTATTTCGAGTGCCGCAACAATGACCATTTTCCCCAGCACCCATGATGTATCCGGTGAGTCGTTGAGCTCGAGGAGGGGCATGAGTCGGAAACATGCGATGATGACGGAACTGCTGCCAAAGACCATGACGCCCAGTACTGCAGCTTTGCGTCGAAGCGACATTTGGAGATTCATGACGGTATATATAGGGAGGATGAGGATGTAAAAGTCTTCCAAGATGTTCTGCAACCTGATCAGTAATTCGTTCTTTGGAAAGGCAGCCCTGGACTTACGAGGATGGAAGGCCCTATGAGAAGGACGAGTTTGCTGATGCAGACAGCATCTGGATGCGTGCCTGGGTGGAGGATCTCATCAAAGGGAACGCATTGGAAGCATGCCAATAGACTGCGGTGAGGGTCAGAACGGACTGCGTAGCGGTATTCAGAACAGCTTTTGGTGCTGCTGGTTGAGGTATTACACACATGTTGATAATCAGGATGACACCGTTCAAAGCGCCGCCAATGTATACCGCTATTCGAAAAGTAGGGCTTGGCGAAAGACGGAGGTAGAAAAGGAGGAAAGCTGATTTGATCACCCAGTGAACTGAGTAGTAAACCACTTCTTCAATGAACAGCCACTTGATACTGGTCAGAACCGTCCGGATCGATTGTCAATCTTGGACCATACCTTGAGGATCTCCAGCTGCTGAACACCGCTGAGTGTATCCATGTGCCTGCGCTAATGGTAAGTGATAGATCGTCAGGGAGTAATCGAAGTGGTCGTACAGTCCGCATCCCCAATATATGAACATGTGCAGGACGACTTGTTGTCCAACACTGAAGAGCTACAAGCTTGTTAGTCATACGAATATGGATGTATCGAGATCTGGGACACCTACGAGAATCAAGACCGCGAAATTGTCATCCCATCCTCTAGTCCGCAGCACAAAGTGCCGGCAATAAAAACGAAGGAATATGGAAACCGTTCCAAAGAAGAAAGAGACGTATGCCACAGCATAAGCCAGTGGCTGGAGAGTCGTCAGTCCCATGGCCACGACAGTATTCTCTCGAATACGTCAACTCTCAACCTGAGCGGAAGCTCGACGATTCAAGAAGTACCTGTAGGAGATGAACGCTCACAAAAAGAAGTCCTCGTTACGCCCCGTTTACGAACGGTTTCAAGGCCTTGCACCAACACCCTGCCCTTCCCACCCCCACGGGCTTGAGATGAATATCCCCGATGCATCAAACCGAATGCGATGCATGCATTGCTACGATCGGTAAGTGATGTCCATATTTGAGCTTTGTTTTTAAAGCATTCCTGTCGGATCCTCCGCATCCTCCAGGGTAAGTTGTGCTTCCAGGCCGCTATGCATGACTAGAATTGTGCTTCATAGCGTTAAGCCGGCGCCTAGGGAGCGGGCAGGTTGGCCGCGTGGGTTCGCGGCTCGACCCTCAACCTAACCTAGCGCGAGGGCTGCCCCGAGCCGGCAAGAAGCACAAGTTAGGAATGCGTTTAGTACAAGTGAACATAAAGAGCTGCTTGAAATCTCCACGAAGATACCAGCATGCTTCCGCAAAGCCATGCGCACAAGATACGAAAGGAAGAGCACGACAGGATCTCCAACCCGGAGACTCTCCCTGGGCAGCTGAAGGAGGCCCGATTGTTGGGAGAGATGTGCGTATATGGGTGGCCTGGCATGAATCGCGAAAGGCGAAGGATCCTTCGTGCTGCGCATTTGCCGCAACAAGACGTGGTTCCCGTTGGTCGAGTCGCCCGGCGTCAACGCGTGGTCCCCAGGGGAGCGGGTGAAGACAACAGCCGTGGCTGCAGGCGAGCCGCTTCCGCGCCCCGCTAGCAGAGCCGTGCTGCCAGGTGGCACGTCCACGACAACAGCCGTTAGCTTCACTGCAACATGAGCCCAAGTGGGACACCCGACACTCCTGAATAGTACTCCAGAGTATGTAGACGCATACAAGCACCCACTGAAAGACCACATTGGCCGCTCCAGTCCAGGTGCTGTTCAGCTGCGTTATCGTTGGGAGAATCGAGCCCCAGGGTCAACACGCAGACAATGCAGTCACTGGCAAAGAGCCGAAAATTTCGAGACGTGGGCTGTACAGGGCATGCTGCAGCTAGCAAGGCTCACCTGGAGTATCTTGGGCCTATCAGAGGCCGCTCAATGGCGTTGAACCGTTCGGAGGTTAGCTAAATCAACCCCCCTCGAAGGATGCGCGCTACTCCTGCATCTTCATCATGGGGATTTTCGGACCGTGGTGAAGATACCTGCCGTCCTCAAAACTCGCGGAGGTTTACTGGAAGCGATCAAGTGGGCGAATAGCGCGTGTTGGCTGGGACGCCTATATTCGAAGCCATGCGCCTTGGATTCTGTCTCCGAGCAGAAGCCCTGCCCGTTTCCTCGACATCTTGAAACCCACTGGAGAGCTCTGCTAAACTGTCGGAGCTTCCACGATGACGATGGAACTCTTTCGAGATGCCGCTCAGCGCAGCGTGTCGCAAGGTGTCGCAGCTGCTGTTCTGTGTGGCATCGTTTTCCACTTCTCAATACGACCATTCGAGTTTGAGCTGGTCATGTTCCACTTCATGGCAGCTTTCATTTTGAGCTTCTTCGGGATGTTCTACGTCTTCGGATTGGCGAAAGCCTTACTCTTTGCGACCAGTTTCAGCACCGGATTGCTCGCCAGCATTGCCATGTACCGAGTATTCTTCCACCGGTGTCGAAAATTCCCAGGGCCGTTCGCCGCGAAAGTCTCTAAATTCCACGCTGCAAGTCTCGCGGCGAAGGACGTCAAATACTTCAGAGAGCTGGAAAAGATGCACGAGCAGTACGGTGACTTCGTGCGCACAGGTGAGCGAACACCCAACTCAGGCTTTGCACGAGCAGATGTTAATAGTCAGCAAAGGTCCGCGAGAGATCAGTGTTCTACGCAAGTCAGCCGTTCCGATTCTTTACGGACCCAACTCGGAATGTTTGAAGTCAACATGGTACGGCCAAACCGGGAACGACCCAAAGAAATGTTCCATACATATGACGCGGGATTTCAACGGCCACCGCCTTCGTCGCCGTGCATGGGATCGCGGGTTTTCCATCAAAGGTGTGTATAAGCTCACGAGCTACACGAGTACCTCTAACTTTACAAAGCGCTCAACACCTACGAACCACGCATCAAGGCAAAGGCGGACTTGTTCAAGTCCCAACTGGCAACCAAAGGAGCAACGTCAATGGATGTGTCCACCTGGTCAATGTTCTTCAGCTTCGACGTCATGGGTGAGGTCGGCTTCGGCAAAGACTTTAACAATCTTACGAGCGGTGTCGAGCACCCTGCTATCAAGGGAGTGCATGCCCACATGACCATGCTGGGAATTATGAGCACGGTTCCGTGGCTCTTGAACGTTCTGGGCTCTATTCCTGGAGCGGCGGCGGGCTATTCGGACTTCTTCTCCTTCTGCGCAGGCCAGATTCGCGAAAAGCACAAGGTATGTTTTGTGATCGTACTACCGGTGACAGACAATTAATGAAATTTAGACCTGGGACGGCGAGAAGTATCCGCAAGACGTCGTATCCTGGTTACTCAAGGCTGTCAAAGAGAACGACGTCTCCGCCTCGCCAAGCCCAGAAGCCTTGGAGGACGATTCGAGAGTGATGATCATTGCCGGAAGGTAGGCAATTCTGATGTAGAAGCCCAAAGACACTGCTGACGATATGTAGTGAAACTACAGCCACCACGCTCGCAGGAGCTCTTTACTACCTCGCCAAATGCCCCGACAAGCAGAAAAGGCTCCAGCAATTCCTCGACCAAGCAATGCCGGGCGGATACAGCCAGTGGTCGTACGAAAAGGTCAAGTCGATCTCTTATCTGGATGATTTCCTCAGCGAGACACTGCGACTTCGTCCCGCCCTCTTGACCGGTGGAGCGCGCGAAACACCAGCAAAGGGCATCCAAATTGACGACACGTACATTCCCGGCAACACGAACGTTGTGGTTCCAGTCTCGCTCATCCAAAGAGACCCTCGATGGTGGCAGCAGGCTGAAGATTTCGTCCCAGAGCGCTTTGGTGAAAAGAGGTTAGAGATGGAAACTGATCAGGCTCCATATCTGCCTTTCTCTCTGGGTAAGTCATTTCATACGGTCGTCGTTCTAGACTCGCAGTCAGCAGCTAACATTCTCGTAGGCGCATATAGCTGCCCCGGCAAGAACCTGGCCCAAATGAGCTTACGTATCTCGCTTTCGATGATCGCGCAGAATTTCGACGTCTCCTTCGCGCCTGGAGAGAATGGAGAGGCATTTGAGAAGGAGATAATGGACACATTCACCGTGACGCTTCCGGCTCTTCAGCTACGATTCACTCCGCGCAAGAGTGCTTGAGTATTGGGTGAAGGATGCTGTTGAACATGCATCTTGGATGTGCCTCAAGTTGGGCCTGTGAAGGATGAAAGCTTGCGCATATCCGTATTCCAACTATGGGGGTTGTCAGCAGGAGGCTGAGGGTGTGTGGTAGTACCGAATTTAATGGGAGGGGTTGTGAATCCTCCGATTGTCATATGCAGCCATCCAAACTGGTTTTCTAATCGCTAGTGGTGGTGTTCCATGATGATGGTGCGCACAGACGTCGCCCGTACTAGTAGCTCTTTCGCGCAACCCGTTCTCCAAGCGGCCCCGGGGCTTGGTGTTGTCTAGATCTTAAAAGTATTCTGGTAACGCGACGCGCGAAGCGTTGGGGAGAGGGCGGAACAACAGCCCGCTCCTCAGCACAAGATGAAATTCGGGGGGTGGCTCGGTCTACAGGCATTCAACGTTGTTAGTCCGGTGTTGGTGTTTTGTGCGCGCAGTTCTTCGGAAAGATCTCGTCATGTTCGACCACGACGTTTTGTATTGTAGTGGGATGTTCGCAAAAGCCTATGCTCAAGGAAGCATCGCATCGCTCTGCCAAGTCAGAATTCAGCGTACACCGTCATCAAGCCCCCAATACTTAAAACAAAAACTCGGCTAAAGTTCCAGCTCAAACGTCCATTAGCGCTCAGGCCCAGAGACCAAAGGACGGCACGGATTCTATAGCGCACGCAGGCGGTACTTAAATTCCGCTCCAAACGGCTGTCTCCAGGGATAGGGGCTCGTTGCGCACTGCGCTCAGACACACACCTAAGTAATCGTAGGGAAGCTTGCCAATCTGGCCTCGGCTCTTCGGGACATCTGAAGCCTCCAAATAAAGTATAATTTGTGGCTTCGAGCTTCGACCACCTGAAAAGCATCTCACGCTCGCTGAGTGTTCGTATAATAGAAGCCAATGTTTCGTAGGCACATGCAACCGAGCGAGGGGCCTGGGTTAAAAAGCTTGTCGGGTGATCTTCCGTTCAAAGTAGCTAGGTATCCTTACTCTAGACCTGCTTGAGCTCAGCCTTTCATTGCGCCATGCTCTCCAGACCAGGTCTGGGGGTGTTGTAGTTTGCGACTGCTCCAACTTAACGTAGTGTCCAAGATCGCACAAAAGCCATAGTTTGTGGTTGAGCCCGGCATTCGGATCTCACTAGCATTGCCCAGGACTTGGAAAGAGCGAAAGCGCGTATATAGAAAAGATGATCGCCAGGTTTAATATGGTATCATCAGGACACTGCCTCTTCTTGATCTTCCAGCGCCAGTCATCATGCGCACCTCATTGTCACTCGTTACTTTGTTAGTTTCTCTGGTCTCTGCGGTACCAGTTGCAGAGCACGAAAAGAGACAGAATGCTGAATTCGACTATGTCATTATCGGTGTAAGTTGTCGCTCATCTAGCTTGAGCCAGCCTGTAAAGAGATGGTTGCGCTAACACGTAGTAAAGGGTGGTACCGCGGGTCTTACACTTGCGAATCGGTTGTCTGAAGACAGCACCATGAAGGTCGCTGTCATTGAGGCCGGTGCTCTCTATCAGATCGCGAACCCGCTTTTGTCGTCGACTCCAGCTGGAGATGTTCTGTGGTCGGGCTCCAGCCCATTAGATCAGAACCTTCTCGTGGACTGGAACTTCATTACCGCCCCTCAAGCCGGCGCGAATGGTAGGCGAATCAAGTACGCGCGAGGAAAGTGCCTGGGTGGAAGCTCGGCTCGAAACTTCATGATCTACCAGCGAGGCGATCGCGGCTCGTACCAGCGCTGGGCAGACGAAGTCGGAGACGACTCGTACACTTTCGACAACCTGATGCCGTATTTCAAGAAGTCCATCAAGTTTACACCACCCAACACCAAGCTTCGTGCAAGCAATGGCTCGGCCGAATACGTCGCGAGTGCCTTCGGTGCCAGCGGCGGGCCTCTCGATGTCTCCTACGCGAACTACGCTGGACCTTTCTCAAGCTACATGGAAGGAGGCATGAACGGCATTGGAATCCAGACTAGGCCTGACTTCAACTCGGGAGAACTCATGGGAGCTCAGTATTGTAGCTCGACGATCACGCCCGGCAACCAGAAGCGCGCGTCAAGCCAAACAACATTTCTTGAGGCTGCGAAGAGTCGTCCTAACCTCAAGGTGTATACTCTGACTCGCGCTGAGAAGATCATCTTCAATAGCGAGAAGCGTGCCACTGGTGTCCAGTTACCGCTTGGAATCGTCCTTACCGCAAAGCGTGAAGTGATCCTTTCGGCCGGTGCTTTCCAGTCTCCTCAGCTGCTTATGGTCTCTGGAGTTGGGCCTGCTGCACAGCTCAAGAAGTTCAACATTCCCGTCCTTGCTGACCGCCGGGGTGTTGGTCAGAATATGCAAGATCACATTTTCTTCGGCCCAACCTACCGCTACAAAGTCCAGACGCTCACGAAACTCGCCAATGACCTTCTTTATGTCGGCGCTCAATTTGCATTCGATTATGGCCTGCTCAAGAAGGGTCCTCTTACCAACCCCGTCTGCGACTTTCTAGCCTGGGAAAAGGCTCCTCGCAACCTTATCTCTTCAGAAGCTGCCGCAGCGCTGGACCAGTTCCCTGCATCCTGGCCCGAGATCGAATACCTCTCTGCACCCGGCTATATTGGCGATTTCTCCAATCTCTTCGCAAGCCAGCCCAAGGACGGCTACCAATACGCGTCCATTCTCGGCGCTCTTGTTGCTCCCCTCTCCCGTGGCTCAGTGACCATCACAAGCTCTAGCACAGCTCAGCTCCCTTCGATCGACCCGGGCTGGTTGACCGACCCCACTGATCAAGCCCTTGCAGTTGCCGCCTACAAGCGCATGCGTCAAGCATTTGCTACAGACGCCATGAAGGCTGGTCTTGCGGATACAAAAGAATACTTCCCTGGACCTAAGGTTGAGACTGAGGAGCAAATCCTTAACACCGTTCGCGATACCGTAAGTCTACCAAGTTTACCGAACCTGCATGTACTAACGATAGCAGTTGATGACTGTGTGGCACGCTTCTTGCACGTGCAAGATGGGAAAGATTGACGACCCAGATGCAGTCGTGGATAGCAAGGCGAAGGTTATTGGTGTGACCGGTTTGAGGGTTGTCGATGCTAGTTCATTCGCACTATTGCCTCCCGGGCATCCACAGGTATGTCATCTTATTCCGCCTCATTCGTGCATCACTGACTTTCCACCAGAGTACGATATACGCGTTGGCAGAGAAGATTGCCGACGACATCAAGCGCAGCCGGTAGGTCGCGCGCGCAGAAGCCGTACTAGACAACTCCATCGTGTTAATTGAGAGATTCAACCCCAAGTGTAACATATCGTCCACTATCATTACTTCTCACTGTAAAGTCACCTTTTCTGCAAGTTCGGGCAGCGTTGCAGCAACAACGTCCATCTTGCCAAACACATCGTCTAATGCCTCCTTCTCCAACAACGAGCAATACGCTGTCTTGAACCCTGCCCTACCCGCTGCGCTTACATCCCAACCGTGTGCAGCCGCAAACCAAAGATCACTAGCTTTGCTGTCAACACCAATCTTTTCTATCAGCTTCTCGTACGCCTTGAGATCCGGTTTTCCCACACCAACGTTGTCACACGTCACAATATGGTTGTTGTCGATGTCAATGTTGCCTCTTTCGAAGTAGCCCATAACTCTTGGACGGTCGCCACTAGTGAACGCCCAGACTGTCCAGCCAGCCTTCTTCATTATGTCCACACATTCCTTTGCACCTGGTCAGACTTCGCACTTCCTATACTCTTGCATGAAATATTTCACATCTTCCTCGGTCGCGACGCTGCGCGGCTCTGCTACGCCAGCAAAATGCAGGATGCGGAAGAAGATGGATTCGAAGACCTTCGCGAAAGGTACGTAAGAGCCCGAAATCGAGAGGTAGGTGTACTCACGCTCCGCGCTCTCTAACCACGCGAAACCAAGGAGACGTGCGGAGATGTTGCTGGCCTGAAGTTTGGGGCCCAGGCGTTGGTCGATGACGGCATAGAAATGCTCGTGCGACACAAGCGTGCCGACTATATCGAAAACAATGTGCTTCGCTCCGGGCATGATTCTCAACGCCGCTGGTGAGGATAGTTTGGTCGTGATATCTTGCTGATTCGTTGATTTCACATCGCGATGAGGCTGTTCATGCAAGGCGCGTCAAACATGCCCCGCGTGCCATCAGGGTGTTTGCCCAGGTGGGCTACGGTGCGATTACGTCATCACATAACGTGAAGTGTCCCATACTTGGGAACGCACACATGGCATTCTGCGTGTCACTAGGAAAATAATATCGGCATCTCATCATTTCTCCATGATGACTACATGTAATTGTATGACGCCGGGAAGAGCTCCGCAGAGATGGGTGCATCGTAACGGTTGACTCCGTCCCGTGAAATGGAGCTCTCGTCATAGAATATCGGTGCCTTCATCTTTAGTCAAAGAACCGTCACCATACTAATCACTCAACTTCTTCATGCGCTATCATCAGCTCATCTGAACCATCATTGTTATCGCATCGTTCGCAGCCCAAGCGGCTATCTCAAGTAGCACCAATGCATCCGATTGGTCGGCGCACAATCTTTCCCAATTAGGACCGAAACACCGTGCGATATCAAACGTCCGTTAACGGCGATGCAGATCTGGCATGCGACGCGCAGATGTGTTCATGTGGGGAAGAGGAAGGATAGAGATACTGATACGTCATGCTAAAGGAAGAAACACACAGGGTCAAAGCTATACCCGCAAATGCGTGTCACCAAAAAGAGCCAAAGACGTTGTGTAGCAAAGGCATAAAGATGGATTCTACATAGAGAAAGGGAGGGAATAGATGCGCTATGGAAATCATCGCTAAGAGTCATTACAAAGAATGCTGTCAAACAACAAACCCCAGAGTACGAGTTCAAAGCCTCAAGTACTCATAACACCCAAACACCAAGGCCATGCATCGTGAATCGTGATAGTCAAGACTTTGCTTACCAAGCAAGGTCGCTCTTCTCGTTGTCATTGCCACAAGCAAGACCCTCGCAGAAGTCCTCCATCTCTTTGCTGATGGCCGAGGCACCAGTGGGCTCGAGTTGCTGCTTAGCAGGCCAGATCTTCTGACCGGCCTTCTTCTCCTTCGCGCCGTGCTCCATGACGATCTCGCGACATCGCTTCTGGAAGAAGAGTGGGCCCTTCTCCATGTGTGGGTGCAGCTCACCGTTGACAAAGATGCCAGCCTCGATGTTCTTCTGCGCACGCTCACATAGAACCTTGTCCTCGCCCATGACGCGCTTGTAGGTGTCGCTAATGAGGTTGAAGTCCTCATCGTTCGAGTGCTTGTTGCGCCAGACCTCGTAGTACATGACTGACTCGGTAGGTGACTTGGGCATGAACTTCTGCATGAAGAGGAAGTGTTTTGTGACGGTGAAGGAGGCGTTGGGGAAGCAGTACGTGGAGCAGATCTCTTGGCCGAGGTCCTTGCGGTCTTGAGGGGTCTTGGGGTCGTGCTGGATGTGGTCGGCCGAGCAGTAGACGTCGTAGCTCTCGAGGTCGATCAAACCTGTTGTGAGATCGGGGTGCGTGCTCTTGCAGTGGTAGCACTCGTTGAAGTTGTCGGCGAGAATCTTCCAGTTGAATGGACCGTCGAGGTTCCAGGTGTGGTCAAACTCGTAGTCGTCAAAGTTGAACTGACCGAAGCGCGCCTGTTCGTCGACGTGGTCGAACTGTGACTCCCATGATACCTCGGGCTCCTTCTTCGCATCCATGTTGATCCAGACAAAGCCGTTGCGGTCGATGCGTGTGTGAATGGGGAAGAGACCGTTCTTGGCCTTCTCGAAGTTCTGGAGCTCTTGGTAGCCCGGCGCCTTCGCGAGCTTGCCGTTGAGGCCATACGACCAGCCGTGGTACTTGCAGGAGAAGATCTTGGCATTGCCACCATCCTTCTCGACTACGGGATACGCGCGGTGTCGGCATACGTTATGAAATGCGTTGATCTCGCCGGACCGGTCCTTGGAAACGACGATGTCGTAGTTGGCGACGTTGTAGCGAAGGAAGTCGCCCGGGTTGGCGAGTCGCGACTTGTGGGTAAGAATGAGCCATCTTCGGGTGAAGATAGCGCGTCGCTCGAGTTGGTACATCTCTTCAGAGGTATACCAGTTGGCGGGGAGGGCCCGTACGGGCTGGTTCTCTGGTGGAGCCTGGGCGGCGGCTGAGCCGCCAAAGCCAAGGTAGCTCAGGAGTGACCCGACCATTGTGAAGGATGCGTGTTGAAATGTAGTGTTATGCTTGTAGTAGGATAGTGGAGTACTAAAGGTAATTGGAAGCGACCACAATTGTGTGTTGGGCAAGTCTGATAGAGAGGATGGACGTCAGGTTGAGGATGTCGCAGGCGTTATTATACCCTCTTCTCGAGGTTCTTAACTCCTCACTCTTATCAAGTAAGACAAACAACTAAGTCCCCATGGGGTTATGGCTTCCATTCGCGCCCGAGGAGCGATAACCAGTGGGACGTGGGAACGTAATTCGGCTGCAGGTGACCGTCAAGCGCCACACAGCCTGACTATTTTTGACGTCTCTCCGTTACCGCACGTTCTGCCATCGTGATCAATTCAACATTCTAGAATGCTGTGCTAGAGCTCAACGGCGTCATATGACTGGGCAGCGTCGTATTACCCCAGAGTAGTTTCATTGACTGTGCATACAATGCAGGAGAAAATCATGGTGACTGAACGTATAGACCATTCTCGTCATTGCCCCTCATGTTGGCACGGACTTGAATGGATCTGATTTCCAAATGCGGACAACGGACGCCAGCCCAAGGCGCGATCAGACTGCGACCACCAAGTTCTGGCGGGACTATTACGGTCGCATTATCCAAGTGCTATCGCGCTCTTATCGAAAATCTTCACTGAAGATGTTGATCGCAGCTGTTATCGTCGAGATATCGAGATAGCGATGCTATCTTGATGAGCTGTCCGGCTTGGATGTAGTACCGCAGCTGATAACGTCTGCTGGACTACAGCCCATGATACTCTGATCGAGGGTGTAGAGCGAACGTCGGAGCACACGCACCGTTGAGCGCGTTGTCATTGAGTGCGAATGACGCCACGCGAGTCGCGCAACGCATACGACAGCAAAGCGTCACTGGTCTCGGTGGAAGCGCCCTTGTTCGTGGATGGTTACCACAGCAGCTCGCGTGTCACTACCCCTCCTGACGATATGGAGAGTAATCGGGAGGGTTTGGGTGCTTTTGGCAATCGCAGTCGTGAATTTGCCGGCTGGTGCTGACAGCGCAGCAAGGTGTTACGTTGGGCCTGCCCTAACACTGTAGGTGTCTGGGTGATTTGGCGATATAAGCTGTCGCTTGTCTCGCAGAATCGACTCATCGATGAACGCAACCAGAGACAACTTCAAAGTGAGTCCATTGCGAAGATTGCTCAGGGCGCGACTCAGTGATCGAAGGCATGCGATGTGGGTGACACCACACGGGTCGGCATCATGGGCCAGATCGGTCTGCCTTTCTGCACGTGGTCCTGTGCGGTTGCCGATTAAAAGGGGTTTGTGCTCTCGAGAAGCCCCGTAGGATCGAGGCTGGGTCCGGGAGGGTTGTTGTCGCATGGTTTTTGTTGCCACGCTTTCAAGGCCTAGTGTCTTTCACACCGGCTTTGTGGGTCGCGACGGGTTGGCGCAAGGTTTGATGGCGGAAAGTCACCCTCAATGTTGAAGCAACGCTTATCCTTGTTACAATGATATATTGTAGCGAGCAAGATCGGTGAATCTTTGCGGCACGACAGCCGCATTAGGTTCGATTGACGGGAAAAGCATGCTAAGCTCTCCATACTATGCATACTTACCTGAGATCCAGGTCTGATATCAGATGAGACGAATTTTGGGTTGGAGTAAAGATCGTGAAAAAAACGGGATGGTGTTGCGCACACGCGAGGCGGGGTTGTTGCAGGCTATTGTAGTCCCGAGTCGATTTGCCTCCATGCGTCCGCACCATAATCACTAATCCCAAAATGGACATCAGGACCCTACATCCACGACTGGCATCTTCCCCACCAATGTCGTAAGTATCGCATGCGGGGCGGTGGGCTGCTTCCGTGCATCACGCTGCCGTTGGCCACTCCATGGGAATTATTTTGCCAATTGAAGTTTGCGCTGCGCTTAGTTTCGGCTCCTATGATGGCAGAGCGTAGTGAAATGGTCCGTTATCGCGAGTGCAAGCAGCTTTAAGAGGAGTTCGTCCTACAGCCTTGGGCAACCAACTGTCCAATTCCATACTTTTCAACTCTTTTGCAATGGCGACCTCCCAGCGCGTTGTCATTATCGGCGCCGGCGTTGTCGGCACTAACCTCGCTGACGAGCTGGTTTCACGAGGATGGAACAACATCACCGTCGTTGAGCAGGGTCCATTGAGCATGCCCGGTGGCTCAACATCGCATGCGCCCGGTCTAGTCTTCCAGACCAATCCCTCCAAAACGATGACCTTACTCGCGAAGTACACAGTCGAAAAGCTGCAAGCGCTCGAGAAAGACGGTCAAAACTGCTTCAACCAATTGGGTGGCTTGGAAGTTGCGACAACTCCAGAACGACTGGAGGAGCTCAAGCGCAAACACGGATATGCGCAATCATGGGGTATCGAGGCAAACTTGATCAGTCCCGATGAATGTCTCGAGAGGTACCCTCTCCTTAACAAGGACATGGTGCTAGGTGGTCTTCACATTCCAAGCGACGGCCTAGCACTAGCAGCTCGTGCGACACAGATCCTCATCGAAAACACGCGCAACGCCGGCGTCAAGTACCTCGAGCACACCGTCGTTACCGGAATCGAACAAGCGGACGGCCGTGTCACCGGTGTGACGACCAACAACGGTTCTGTACCAGCGGATATAGTTGTATCGTGTGCTGGCTTCTGGGGCGTAGAGATTGGAGCTATGATTGGGCTGAAGGTTCCTCTCCTTCCTCTAGGGCACCAGTACGCGAAGACTACAGCTGTCCCCGGTCTCGAGAACCGCGAAGTCAACAAGAAGATCAACGCCATGAACGCCGAGCTGCCGATCCTACGACACCAGGACCAAGACTTATACTACCGAGAACATGGCGAACAGTTTGGTATTGGGTACTATGGCCACCGTCCGATGCCCGTCAAGGCTTCAGACTTGGGCGTGACACCCAAACATGTCGATGAGAAGCACATGCCTTCTCGTTTGGACTTCACACCCGAAGACTTTGAGCCTGCCTGGAAGGCCACCAAAGAGCTGCTTCCAGTACTGCGCAACACTGAGATCGCAGATGGTTTCAACGGTATCTTCTCTTTCACGCCAGACGGTGGATCCGTCGTTGGACAAGCTCCCAATCTCGACAACTTCTGGGTCGCCGAAGCCGTGTGGGTGACACACTCGGCCGGTGTAGCTCGAGCTGTAGCAGAGACCCTTACAGAGGGCCGTTCAACTATCGACATTGCTGAGTGTGAGTTGACACGATTCGAGGAAGTCCAGCTGAGCCCGGAATACGTCAGCGAAACCTCGCAACAGAACTTCGTCGAGATTTACGACATCATCCACCCTCTCGCGCCGAAAGAGAACCCTCGCAACCTTCGTGTCAGCCCCTTCTACGCACGACAACAGGAACAAGGCGCCTTCTTCTTGGAGGTAGGAGGCTGGGAGCGTCCACACTGGTACGAAGCGAACGCAGGCTTGGTCAACACCCTCCCGGAAGAGTGGAAGCCTGTTGATCGGGACGCCTGGTCGTCCAAGTTCTACTCACCGATTGCCGCGGCGGAGGCCTGGAAGACACGAAATGCAGTAGCGTTGTACGACATGACAACCTTCCACAGGTTCGAGGTGTCAGGTCCTGGTGCCGTCCACTTGCTCCAGAGGTTGACGACCAGTGACGTTTCTAAGCAACCCGGCGCCATCACCCATACATTACTCGTCAACGGCCACGGTGGCGTACTGAGCGACATTTTCGTTTCGAGAATCGAGGAGGACCTTTTCCAAGTAGGTGCAAACACAGCGACCGATCTTGCCTACCTCACGCGCGAAGCTCGCCGTCAACACAAGCACACATCCGGTCAGTGGGCTCAGGTGCGAGACATCACTGGAAGCACATGTTGCCTTGGTCTTTGGGGTCCCCGCGCACGCGACGTCATTCGCACGGTGAGCTCCGATGACTACAGCAACAAAGGCTTGCCATACATGGGTGTGAAGAAGACAAGCATAGCTGGAGTTCCCGTCACCATGTTCCGAAAGTCGTTCGTCGGAGAGTTTGGTTGGGAGATTCAGACCACACCTGAGTATGGCCAGCGACTTTGGGACATATTGTGGGAGTCGGGCAAGCCCCACGGTCTAGTCGCTGCTGGTCGCGCTGCCTTCAACGGACTGCGAATCGAGAAGGGCATCCGAGCCTCGGGTTCCGACATGACCTCCGAGCACAACCCTTGGGAGGCCGGCGTGACGTACGCGATCCAGATGGACAAGAAGGCGGACTATGTTGGCAAGGCTGCGCTGGCGCAGCTTTCGAGGAAGGCAGCGTCTAAGCGACTTCGATGCTTGACGGTCGACGACGGTCGTTCGGTGGTTCTGGGCAAGGAGCCTGTCTTCGTGGAAGGTCAAAGAGCCGGCTATGTTACCAGCGCCGCTTTCGGCTACACGGTACGCAAGCCTGTCGCGTACGCATGGCTACCCAGCACTGTGAGTGAAGGGAAGACCGTGGAGATTGAGTACTTTGGCAAGAAGATCAAGGCCACAGTGACTCGCGATCCATTGCACGATCCTCAGGAGCAGCGCTTGAGGGATGAAGGATCATCGGAGAAGCCGGAGCTGCAGAAGAGGCTGAAGGCGCTGCTGTAGTTGGGACGTTGTAATGTTGGACGATTGTTATGACTGTACATGAGCATCGGAATGGCGTGGCTGGGTTTGATTTAGGTGTTTGTCAGGCGTATGGGTACCATTAGTTCCATGGTAGACACTGTATTGAAAGATCTCCTCGTTGAAACGCGTCGTGCCTGATCGCTTGTTGTGATAAAGAATATGTGCCGCATGCCGCGCCATTTAGGATGCATCGTGTCTTTGAGGCGAACGCGTCCGGCAAAGCTCGACGCGTTTCGAAGTGGGCCGCTTCTCACGTGATGGTGTCTTATCGATAAGGAGCGATAACGTCATCATCACCTCGGCCTTCGCGGAGCTCCATGGCCTCCTCAACTCTCCGCCAATTTCTGTTCGGTGTCTTCCTCATGAGCGTGTTTACTGCAACCATCAAACGATACTCGCTAGCATCAATCTCCCGCACTTTAACCAAGGTAAGCGCGAGCAATTGCTTCCACAATCTCGAATCGGAAGTTGACGCCAAGCAGCCATCGTCTCCAGCTGCACGCGCCATGCATATCCAATCAATCCCCATGTGTACGAGCACCCTGATGGAGCATCTCGAGCCATCAGACACACTCTAACTCACTAATCAGGGGAGGGTTCGGGCAACAACTATGCCTACCTGGTCTCAGACGACAAGACTAAAGAAGCCGTTATCATCGACCCTGCCAACCCTCCAGAGTACGTCGGAGACATAGGGAAGAAGGTGCCTAGCTGACTCCACTGTAGAGTCCTACCCGTATTGCGGGAACAGACTACCACCGGAGGTCTCAAGCTGACCAAGATCATCAACACTCACCAGTAGGGCAACCGCGCTACACAATGCGACTTCGCTGACGTGTCGGATAGCCATGGAGACCATGCAGGAGGCAACGTGGATACAGTAAGTTTAGGAAGAAGCAAGCAGGGTGGAAGTTCATCAGCTAACCGTCCTCCCAGATCAAGGCATTCGGCCTACCTGTAATTGGCGGTCGTGACTGCGACAAGGTCTCCGAAACCCCCAGCCACAACAGTACCTTCAAGATCGGTTCCATCAACGTTAAAGCGCTCCACACACCATGCCATACACAGGACAGCATATGCTTTTACTTCGAAGACGGCAACGACCGCGCCGTTTTTACCGGAGATACACTGTTCATCGGCGGTTGCGGGCGATTCTTCGAAGGCACTCCAGAACAGATGCACAAGGCTCTGAATGAGACCCTAGCGGCTCTTCCAGATGATACAAAGGTCTACCCTGGGCATGAGTACACGAAGGGCAATGTCAAGTTTGCCAAGAGTGTGCTGAACAATGATGCCATCAAGAAGCTCGACACATTCTCACAAGAGAACAAGCAGACGCAGGGTAAGTTCACGATTGGCGACGAGAAGAAGCACAACGTCTTCATGCGCGTCGACGATCCCGAACTCCAGAAGGTTACTGGCAAGACCCAGCCAATCGATGTCATGGGAGCGCTGCGAGCCATGAAGGACAAGTCATAAGACGGAATATTGGCACAAATAAAATGGCATCATAGCATCCTGCTATGCTGCTTGGACTAGATGCTTACCTGTAGAATATCTCCGTGAATGATTCACGTTCATCTGTGCTTGTTTAGATGGAAAGCCAACAGCGCCAGTAGCAAAAGAAGTATAACTGCGGGGAAATTCTGTTAACAAACTATGAGTGCAGATTCGGCCTCATGTCTCTGGGATTTGATGAGACCAGTGATGGGGCGCCTGAGGGCAGATGTTCGCGAGGGATGCAGTACTTGACTCACAAGCGATGACTGGACTTGCGGTTCGTAATATTTAAGAACACCATTGTTCCATCCGAAAGCGCAAAACAACTTCAAAGCATCTTCTTCGGCTATTGACTATACCTTTTTTTGTCTTGCGAACAACGAATTTCTAAGAACATAAATATTGATCTTCATGACTGCCAGCGGTATCACCATGAAGGCGCTCAACCAACGTATGAGACCGGACCAGCAGGAGACGCTACCACCCCACAAGTACTACGAGAACCGCTATACCTTAGTACAGAGTCTGCGTCAGAACACATGTGCGAATGGCATTTACTCTTCCTTCGTTCCCAATCTCCTGGACCTTGGCGCGTTCCGCGCTCGACACGAATCTATAGCGACGGGCCACCAGCTCGAAGACGTAGAGTATATAATACGTGGCCGCATCGTCACTATTCGTAGTGCAGGAGAGCGTCTGCGCTTCTATGAAGTTCAGGTGGGCGAAGACAAGATACAGGTCGTGTGTCAGGTGACTGAACGAGATGACATCGAAGCATACAAGCAGCAACACGAACACCTCGCGAGAGGCGACCAAATCGGTGTGATCGGGCACCCAGGGCGAACAGCACCACGAAACCGACCCGTAGGCGAGCTCTCGCTCTTCGCGCACAAGGTCATCTTGCTAGCACCCAGCCTGCACATGCTGCCCAAGACGCTCACTGACGCCGAAACGCGACACCGCGACCGACCCCTCGACTTCATTACGAATCGACGCAGCCGCGACATGCTGCGCACCTGGGACGCAATGGAAGTCTATATCACCACGTTCCTGCGCAGTCGCGGCTACATCTCAGTCGTAACACCAATCCTCTGCCAGCAAGCCGGCGGTGCAGCAGCCAAGCCCTTCATCACCCACCACAACGATCTCAAGCGAGACATGTACCTCCGGACTGCTACTGAGCTCCATCTCAAGCCCTTAGTCGTTGGCGGCATTGATCGCGTGTTCGAAATCGGACGTGTGTTTCGCAATGAAGATATGGATCTGACTCACAATCCTGAGTTTACAAGCTGCGAGTTCTATCAGGCAGATGCTGATTATGAGGTGATGATGCAGTTGACGCAGGAGATGATTTCTGGTTTGGTGAAGGAGGTGACTGGGTCGTATGTGACCAGGTTCAAGAGTCAGACTGGTGACGAGTGCGAGATCAATTGGGAGGGGCCGTGGGAGCGTATCGATATGATTCCAGCTCTAGAAGCTGCATGTGCTGTCAGCTTTCCTCCTCCATCTGAACTTCATACGGAGGACAGTCGGCAATTCCTTCTCGGCCTCTTGGATGACCGCAACATCGTTTGCTCACCTCCGCATACGAACGCCCGTCTGCTCGACAAGCTCGTCGGGGTCTACATCGAATCGCGCATTACGAACCCCACGTACATCATACACCACCCGAAGCTCATGTCTCCACTAGCCAAGACGCATCGCGCAATCCCTGGCCTCACAGAACGCGCTGAAGCCTTTGTCTGCGGCCAGGAGATTTGCAACCTGTATTCCGAACTCAACGATCCGTTCGAGCAGCGCGAGCGCTTCTTAGAGCAAGCGCGGCAGAAGGCTCAAGGCGACGACGAAGCGCAGGGCATTGATGAGGAATTCATCAAGGCGCTGGAGTATGGGATGCCGCCCACGGCTGGGTGCGGGCCTGGGCTTGATCGCATCTTGATGTTCTTGACGAACAACTACTCAATCAAGGAAGTTTTGGCGTTTTCCATGATGAGGGAGGAAATGAAGAGGGGTGGAGGTGGGCCTGCGAATACTCAGATTGATCAGGTGGTTGAGAAGGGAGAGCGGGTTCGGGCGCTGAGGGCGCAAATGGCAGCGCTTGAAGCCGAGATCGCGGGGCTGTCCATCGAGAATTCAGAATGAGGTTTTGTGGCTAGGTAGTGAAATTCAGCATTTACTCCCTCGGGATCGATGAGATAGGACTAGAAGTGAAGAAAATCATTGGCGTGAGATGTTGATTCCTTCGTAACACCATACCTCGTATGCTATCTTACTCGTAGAAATTCCAATAATACCGGCACTGTGAATACCTCCGAGATCGCGAATCCCCTGACACACCTATCAATGAAATCCTACCAACCCGAAGCTTGACGAACGCCCCTCTTAGTAGGCATCGTCTCCTGCTCTTCAGTTCCTGAAAGTCCAATGTTAGCACTTGCTCTAGGAAGTACCCTGAATACAAAAAGAAAACGCTGGACAGGATTATATGTTCGTACTCAGTCGGTGGACCACGGGGACCGAGCTTGGTGGCAAGCTGCCGTATTCGGTGATGACCATGTTGATGTACTGTGCGGGCGTAACGTCGTAGAGGACCTGGAGATGATGCAGGTTCTTTGCATCGTCAATCCATTTGAGAACGTCTGTGGTATCGGCAGGTGCCTCTTCCGATGACGACTTGTCGTCGCTCTTCGAAGCCGTAAACCGTGACTTGAGAGGAAGGAGCTCGCGGCGCTCAGCCTCAGAGAGGATTTCCTCGGCAGGGGCGACTTCATTTCCGACGATGGAGTCCAGCGCCACTTTCTCGGTGAACTTCACTGATTGGCAGAGTACGATGACGGGCAACGAGTGAGAGTAGGCAAGCATGGAGACCAGAGCTGTGCCAACGCGCGAGTAGAGGCGACCGTTCGACATCATCGCGTGGGCACCCAGGAAGACCTTCGTCGCGTCCTTAACAGCGTGCGAAGCTCCTGTGATGAGATAGTAGCGTACTGAGATGCCGTGGTTTGCGAGTTTTCGAGCTAGCTGCTTGCCCTCGAATAATGGCTTTGAGTCCACGACGATGACTGAGAAGGGTTTGCCGGACTGGTGAGCATGTATGATGGTCTGTTCGACTATCGAAGATGCCGCGTAAATCAGAATGACATCGCCAGCTTGGATCTTGGTAGCTGCCAGGTCACGGATGAGTCGGTCAGCAGCTGTAACACGTTCGCGGATGAATATGTCGATTTCTTCGATGAGGTCTCGCTTCGCCTCATTCTCCGGAGTTGAAGGATCTATCTTAATGATGACTGGAAGATGTCAGTATCTCTTCCGACGTTCTCTAGAAACCCCGACGCTCAGTTAAGTCATGTCTGCTCTATCAGTTCAATGTGAAATTCCCACTTACTATCCTTGAGCCATCGGATGGCGTTTCCCATACTGATGCTGAGCGGTCGACAGCTCTTCAGGAACTCGATCTGAGGACCAAGGTGATGGCTGGT